TCTATGACATGTGCCAGGCACACACTGGAGACCAAAGGAGAGAAAGATGCCCAGCTGGTGTGGCTCAGTGGTTGAGCATTGACTTAGGAACCAAGAGGTCACGGTTTGATTCCTGGTCAGGATACATGCCCGGGTTGCGGGCTCCATCCCCAGTGTAGGTCCTGTAGGAGGCAGCCGATCAATGATTCTCTCTCATCATTGATGTTTCTATCTTTCTCCCCAGCTCGCTTCCTCTCTGAAATCAATAAAAATATATATTTTTAAAAAAGTAGAACTATCATATTTTCTAGCTATTTTACTTTAGGTATTTATCTAAAGAAAATGAAAACACTAATTCGAAAAGATATGTGCACCCTCACATTTACTGCAGAATTATTTACAATAGCCAAGAGGAGGAAGCAGCCTAAGTGTCTATCTACGGGTGAATCGATGTAGAATGGATTATGAACCAGCCACAGGAGAGAATGAATTCTTGCCATTTGCAACAACATGGATAGACCTTGAGGGCATGATGCTAAGTGAAATAAGCCAGATGGAGAAAGACAAATACCAGATGATTTCACTTATATGTAAAAATCTAAAAAACGCCCCCAAAAAACAAACAAATAAAATTAATCCCATAGATACAGAAAACAGATTGGTTATCAGAAGGGGAGAGGGTTTGAGGGGTCGGCAATATGAGTGAAAGGGTCAACTGTGTGGTGATAATAGTAACTGGACGTTTGGTGGTGATCATGGTGTACAGATGCTGAATTATAATATTTGATAGATCCTCCCTTCCCCCAACTGATGGACGGAGAATGACGTAAACTCCACCTGCAGCCTGAACATTCCTGAACACCTAACCAGGCACCTTATATGGACTGTAAATTGATCCTCCAATCAGCACCTGCCAAGTACCCTAAGGCCCCCCCCCCTCCACCTCCCCATTCCTAAGTCCCTAAGTGCCTAATCATGTGCCTTATATGAAACCACCAATCAGCACCTGCTAAGTACCCTAAGCCCCCGGTTCCTAAGTCCCTAATCAGCATGTGCCCAGTACCTAAGCCCCGTCCCTTCCCTTTCTCCCCTCAAAAGGCAAAAGGCGTTTCATCCCGGCACATGTGCTCTTTCTCCTTTGGAAGGCAGCCCTCCTGGGGTCTTCTCCTCCAATAAAGCCTGTGTCCTGGTTCTCTGGCCCTCAGTCTCATCTTTCAATATTGATTATACATCTGAAACTTATGTAATGCTATATAACAATTTTATCTCAATTAAAAAAAATAAAAGGAGTTGGCAGGTCAGTGGTGGGAAGTGCTGATGGCATCCACCTTTATCCCTCCGGCCTTACTGTGCTAGTTCTCCCAGCTTCCTTTTGCTGCGGGCTCTGCACCTCTGCCTGAGAGCTTTCTCCGAAGACGGAAGGGTCCCTCTGCTAGCACACGGCAGAGGCCTGATGGGGCTGGTGCTAGCACCCCACTTCCTCGCCTTCCCCTCTCCTGTGTTCTGTTCTGCTCCCCAGAGCCCCCCGGGGTGGGGTGGGGGTGTTCCAGGCTCCCATAGTGGTAGCTGGTTGGATAACATACTCTTTGTTGAGTCCCTTCCCTGATTCTCCTTCTCCTGGTATTTTGGTACCCCCCCCCCCCCCCCCCCCGCCTCCCTGCTCCAATGTCCAAGTAAACTACCTCCACTTCTCCACCTCAGTATTTGTCTCAGGATCCGTTTCTGAAGGGACCTAAACAGAGACATACATTCAGCCTGTCCATGAATTTTCAGCCTCCCCGGCTGCAAGGGAATTAAACACACGTTTGTCTTCTCTCTGCAAAAAGGTTTCAAAAGCCGTGCGCGCTCAGCCATTCCACGTTTACGCTTTGTGGCCAAGATGCGGACAAGAGGCGCTCAGGATGGGCTGATTCAGCCCCCAGGGCCTGGCTGCAGCTGACAAAACTATTGACTGCTGGGCTTCTGGCTGTCAGTTCCGATCTCTGCTGACGGGCAGAGGAATGCACTCCTTCTGCAAATATTTTCAGAGCTCAGCCTCTCTGCAAGGGGCCCAGGCAGCATCGGCCGAACGCACACAAGGGCGGTGTGTGTTCTCTGAGATGTGGCTTTCAGATTACCCCATTGAAAGGACGCGAATGAGTCAGTTCAGAACTAATGTCTGAATTACTGTTGGGCTGGTGGTGACTCTCAAGAGGGTGAGGGATGGATAATAATGACCCAAGCGTTTTCTTTTTCTTTTCCACACCAGGCAGGACACATTCCTGTTCATTTCAGTGCCCCTCCCCACTTTCGCAAAGAAATAAACCCTACAGTGCCTGCCGTGTACACCCCAGGAGTGTTGGGACAGAGCAAGGCTGCAAACGGCTGGGCCACCGAGATTTAGCTTTGGGGGCAGAGCCAGGGAGAGATAACAGCCTCAGGCAGAGACAAGGTCCCTGGACAGAGCTGGGAGAATTAAATGAAAGCCACCCACTCGAAAGCGGAGTGGAAATGGATGGTTTTTAGGGTCATTAACTATAAACATTCATGACTCTCCTAAAGGAGGAGGAATGGACCCAAATCAAATCTGCGGTTGGGTTTTGCTTCTCCTCTGTGTTGTTCACCTCTCCCCAGGTTGGGGTGGGGCTGCATTTTGTGGGGTCACCAGGCATTATTTGCCATCAAAGTGTTTGTTGTGACTTGGTCAAGGAACTAAAGGTTAGCAAGAAGAGAAGCTGGTGAAAGGGGGATGGGGTGGGGGGAGCGGGGAGATGGGGGTGTTTTCTGGGCTGGAGAACATTGAAGGCTCCAGAATTGGTGAAGACCCTGCTGGGAATGTTCCTATTGGTCCTATTGTTCTTATTGGGGGGCGGGGGAGTGAAGGGGGCAGAAGACAGGAAATAAAAGATCCTCCTGGCTTTCTTTCGGTGGTTTTTTTATACCTTATGGTTCTCAACCCTGGCTGTGCATTAGATCGCCCAGCACACAGAACTGCAAAGCCCTGGCTGGGTAGCTCATTTGGGTTGGAGCATCGTCCCCATGCACCAACGTTGCGGGTTCGATCTCTGATTAGGTACACACAGGAATCAACTAGTGAGTGCTGCCTGGGTGGAACAACAAATTGCTTTCTCTCTTTTCCTCTTTCTCAAGAGAGAGAGAGAGGGCGGGGGGAGAGAGGGGAGAGAGAGAGAGAGAGAATGAACCTGGCCGGTGTGTATGGCACAGTGGTTGTTTGTTGACCCAGGAACTAGGAGGTCACGGTTCTATTCCAGGTCAGGACACATGCATAGGTTTCTGGCTCAATCCCCAGTAGGGGGCAGGCAGGAGGCAGGCAATCAGTGATTCTCTCCCATCATTAATGTTTCTCTCTCTATCCCTCTCCCTTTCTCTTTCTGACATCAGTAACAAAAGGGAGAGAGAGAGAGAAAACCACAAAGTCCCTCTCCTTCTTCTAACTTACTTGGTCCTGGATGGGGCCTAGGTGGGGCTTTTTCCTTCAAAAAAAAAAAAAAAAAAAAAAAAAGATAAAGAGAGAGAGAGAGAGAACCACAAAGTCCCTCTCCTCCTCCTGATTTACGTGGTCCCGGATGGGCCTGGGCGTGGCCCTTCTGAAAGTGCTCTGACACAGTCTGTGCAGCCAGGGTGGAGAAGGGTCCAGGCAACCAGGGGTGCAGGAGCAGCCCTCTCGCCTTGTCTCACACAGCTGCCTTAGTTTTCACACTTCCTTCACGCTGTCCTCCCTCTTCTGCCCTTTCCATTCTCTGCCTCAAAATCCCAGCCATACACGGGTAGGGCATGGAGAAGGAAGAAACCCTGTGCATTCTATTTCTGGTTAATTCCTTTATTACTTATGAAGTTTAATAAAAACCATTTTCTTCCATGAATAGAAAGAATTCATACTACTTAAGAAAAACTCAAGAAATACTCAAAAGCAAGAAAAAGGTTTCAAAGTGTTCAACAGATCCATTTCAAAGACAACCACCACTAGCACCATGAATATTGCTGTGTTTTCCTTCTCATCATTCCGTGATGCCTGATTTCTTTGTTTGAATGCTTTACCCTACTGTATACACATCAGGGTTGGCACACTGTAGCCCGCAGGCCAAATCCAGCCCGTATCCTGTTTCTGTAAATAAAGTTTTATTGGCACACAGCCACACTCACTTGTTACTTATTGTCTCCAGCAGCTTCCACATCACAGCGGCAGAGCTGAATATTGCGACAGAGATCATTTGGCCCAGAAACCTAATTATTTACTATCTTGTTCTTTGCAGAAAATGTTTTTGGCCCTGGTATGCACCACTCTGCATGCGCACTTCCCAGGCTGTTATAAATGCTTCACGAATATCATTCCCATAACTGTCTGATATGTCATTGCACGGTTGGCCTTTATCCTGTTATTAAACATTTATGTGTTATTTCCCCAAATGTTTTTGCTTTTGTGATGAATGCATCAGTGAGTATACTTGGATGTACACTTCACTTGTATTTTCAATGATATCTTTAGGGTAGTGTCCTGATTATTCAACTGGTAGGTAGGGGCATTATAAGACCCTTGATACATATCACCAAATTCCTTATGCAAATGGGTCATAGACATGCTTCCTGAAATACAGGTGAAAACCTTCTCTACAAACTTTCCAGCATTATTATTATTATTATTATTATTATTAATTATTAGAGACCTGGTGCATGAATTTGTGCATGGGTGGGGTCTAGCTGGCCCAGCCCCGATCATCTCAATTGGGGCTGGGCTGGCTGGAGGAAGGGACCATGGCCCCACCCCTTGGTCAAACTCCCAATGGAACTCCTGGTTGAGGGGAAAATTTGTATATTAGCCTTTTATAATATATGATTATTACTATTTTAAACATTTTCTGTTTTTAGACAGGCAAACAAAAAACTGTTATCTCAATACACATTTCATGTACGCCTGCTGGGACAGAGACAGCTGTACTTTTTCCTTCGCACGTTGACTGCCTTTCCTCTTTGCTTGGCCTTCTGCACAGGGCAGAGTGGAGGGTGCAGGCGCTACCTCTCACCTTGGCTTGGAGCAAAGCTCCTGCTTCCATCCGGCTCTCCTCGACATCTCTCTCCCAGTGAATTCTGATCGTCTCCAGGACGGCGTCCAGACCAGTGCCCTGGGGCACGTCCACCTGTTCCAGCTCAGACACTGCCAGCTGCTGACACAGCGCTTTCACATCCTGCAAATGACAGCGTGCACAGGTGAGTCCCATGGGGGAAAGAAGACACGGCATTGTCGTCAGCAGAAGCCCAGTTCTGTGGGCAACACTTTTTTTTTTTCCTTTTTAACATATTTTTAAATTGAATTTAGAGAGGGAGAGAGAGAGAAACATCAATGTGAGATAGAATCATTGATTTGCTGCCTCCAGATGCATCCTGACCAGGAATCAAACCTGCAACTCTGGCAGGTGCCCTGACTGGGAACTGAACCAGCTACCTTTCCGTGCACAGGGTGATGCTCAACTAACTGAGCCACACTGGCCAGGCTGTGGGCAACACTTAGTTTCTCCTTCCGCTAAAGCCAAACGGGGGTGCTTCCCAGCCATGGGCAGAGATCCTGACCCTTTTCCCAGCACAGGGGCTGTATGCTCTTTCCCCAGGATGCATTGCTCAGCTGGTTTCACAAGCCTGGGCCCAAGCAAAACGTCAAAGAATTAGCTAAGTATCGGCACAGAGTAGGCAGCAACAGCAAGATGAAATTTAGGCATTTCATAAAGTCAGATTAAGTCAGGCTGAAAGAGCTCTGAGGATTACTGTGGAGTCTCTTACTATCAGGGAGTGTGGAAGATGCCAGCGCTAAGAGCAGGGGGAAGTGGGCCTGGTTCCTGGTTTGCATAAGGCCAGACAGAAGAGGGAGCTTCCTGACATGAGACTGTTGAGTGGGTTTTGACGTTTTCAGCTGCAAGCACTGTAGGCCTCGGATCAGACAGTGGCACCAGGCAAGGGGCTGCAGCCCCTCCGTCCTCTCACTCAGGGATCTGACTTAATTCCAAACCAGAGAGTGTGTGCAAGCCACAGCCTGGCTCAGAGTTATTCTGTTTGTCCTGTAGAGTGAAGACAATGTTCTGAAGTTGAACACCTTGACGTATGGGATACGCCCTCAATTCAATCCCTCGCTAGCACTTGGACCTCATGCCTCCTCCAGTTCTCAGAAGCCTTTTGAGTGTGAGACATCTTGCTAGCCTGACCCCTACGTTGGGACTGTAAGCATTTACCAGCCTTGGGCAAGAGACATGGAGAGACCCAGGTGAGCTAGCATCATCTATGTATTTTAAAAATTATTAATATTTTTATTGATTTTTAGAGAGAGGAAGGGAGAGGGAGGGAGAAAAAGAGAGAAACAATGATGTGAGAGCAGAACATTGATTAGCTGCATCCTATACCCCCTCCCCTTGGTCACTCCCCCTCTCCCCTCGGTGGGAGTTGAGACCACAATCCCTGCATGTGTCCTGACTGGAAGTGAACCAGTGAACCTTTGGTGCATGGGACGGTGCCCAACCCACTGAGCATACCAGCCAGGGCCCATCACCTGTGCTTTGAAGCTTGGCCAGACAGGCGAATATAGCCAACCCAGCGTCAGCCCAGCCCCACCTACCTCTTCATAGCTCCTTGACAGAAAGCCACGCTCTTCTTTCAGGCTTTCTATTTGACTTTCCAGGTCCATTGTTGTCAAATTAGCTTCGTCGATGACTTTATAGAGAGAGTTAATTTCCTCTTCCACTGCCTTTCGAAATGACTGCTCATTTTCATATCTGCAGATAAAGGAACTTAATCAGCATAGCTAGGTGACCGAAAGGAGAAAATTATACATATTTTATTATATAGTAAATTTTATATATATTATTAATATAAATTATATATATATATGGCAGAGGTGACGGTTTGTATTTCACCTAAAGGGGCACTGCTGCTCAGCTTCTTCCAATACTGCTGAGTGGGAAGGGTAGGAAATGGGAAAGCTGGATTTAGACGTGAAATATCCAGAGTTGGCAAACTCACAACTTACTCAATAACACACATGCTCACACATGTGCACACACAATCTCATGAGTCTGAAACTGCCTGCTCTGAGCTCTTTCCATCTCTGGTTCACACGGGGCCTTCTTTCTAAAAGCTACCCAGCATCTTTGCCAATGTCTTCCTGTGTCACTCCTTTTCTTCCACCGCCTTGTTCCCAGCTGTGCCACTCAGCCCACGTTCACAGCTTACCTTAGCCCACTCACAGAAAGGAGAAATCTCACACTCCTCATTCCAGAAAGTGTCTTACTATCTTAGAATTTTAAAGGGACTTTAGCATTCAACTATTCAAACTCCTACCCAGCAACAGTCCCTTGGTAGCATTCTTGGTAAGTGATCACATAGCCTCTGCTTGAATACTTCCAGTGACAGGCAACTCATCCTCACTCAAGGCTGCCGTTCGGTTTTTGGACAGCTCTACTCATTGTAAATCACCCCCTCCCCCCAAGAGCTTAAATCTCCATTCTTATATGAATCTACCAAGTATCGGGTTTCACCCTTTGGAACACCCAAAGTCAGTCTAATCCTTCCTTCTGGTAGTCCATAAATATTTAGAGGCTGTCTCTTATGTTACTCTCTCATTTCCCCTCCCCACCGCCAACCTCTCCAAGCCTTTTGTTCCTCAGGTTATACCTTCCCAGTTCCTTCCTCCATTCTTTAAAAAAAAAAATGTTTTATTGATTTTTTTAGAGGGGAATGGAGAGGAATAGAGAGAATCATTGATGAGAGAGGAACATTGATCAGCTGTCTCCTGTACACCTCCTCCTGGGGATGTGCCCCAAACCAAGGTACATGCCCTTGGCCAGAATCGAACCTGGGACCCTTCAGTCCACAGGCTGATGCTCTATTCATTGAGCCAAACCAGCCAGGGTGAAGGATTGTGTTCCTATCAACATTTCCTCCTTCTGGGAGCAAGCCCTGTCCTTCCAGTGAAATGAAAACCCATATGACCGGGCTTGGTCCCTGTTGGTCCAAGTTGGACGAGTCCCCCTGGGCCTCCGGAGTCCTGCTTTGCTCACCTCTCCAGGAGCCTGGTCCCTCCGGGATATGGTCCCCTCAGCAAACTCTCTGAGCCCTCGGGGCCACTTTTGTGTCTACAAGAAGGCTTTGGGCCTGACCATCTTGGCTCTGGATTCTCCCTGGGACCGTTTCCCCACCCCATCCTTCCATGAGGCTGGAGGAGAATGCTGCAGACTCCAGATAGCATTACCTGAGTCCCCAAGAGTCTGGAGGCATGGGGGGAGGGGTTGTTGGGGGGGAGGGGTGAGGCGGGCAGAACTGCCTCTGTGGCAAAACATTACCTGTCTTTGAAGGCATCCGCACCCGCCTGGATGTTCTCTGTCTGCAGCACGAGCTGGGCGTTTTCCAAGACAGCCTCACCCACCTGGGACAGTCACACAGCAGAGGAGGCAGAGTCACGGCAATGTTAGAGAAATAGGAAGGGAGAGAGAGAGAGAGAGAGAGAACTATCGATGTAGTGGAGAAACATCAATGGGTTGCCTCCTGCATGTGCCCCAATCGGAATCAAACCCTCAACCAGTTGGTGTTCAGGACAGCACTCCAAGCAACCGAGCCACATGGCCAGGGCAGGATCTGGACGTTTTAAAAGAGCATTAGAGTTGGATTTTTGGAGCAAAAAGATCACTCCACAGCCGGCTTGTTCACAGCCTTCCTGCTTTACTGTTGATGAGTACCAACCAGGGGCTTATTCAGGCCCCAAGTGGAGGCTAATTATAGGCTCTCGCCTGCCAAAGTGCAGCTGGCTGGCTGGGCTTCTCCATCTCCTTGGCGGACGGCATCCTGAAATGACCTGCAGTCCACCATGCGGCCACAGAGGGCCCTTCATGGCTCCCCTGCAGGCGCCCTGCCTACCAGGGGCTACGTCCTCTCTGGGGTTGGCAGTGGCTGGGCCATCCCAGAGGTAGGAAGGGCCAGGCAGGCAGCGAGGTGAGGCTGGGCCTTGGCTGAGGCTGAGCATGGGCTGAGGACTGGGATGGGGCCAAGGCCAAGAGCAAAGCTTGGCGCCTGCAGTGGAACAGGGAACGTCTTTGTTTCTACCTGGGAAAGCTTTATGAAACCCTCGCTGGGGCTGAGGATAGGAAAGGAAGGGGAAGGGAAGTGCCTGGCCCGTGGCCTGGTGGAACTGGCTGGTGCTGGCTTGTGGGGGCAGATAGTAAATATCCCAGGGGTTTTGTGAGCTGGCTGTTAAACACAGCCGTCATGAAAGTTTTAATTATGTGAACTTACAACTAAACACATTATTTCAAAAACACAGGTGATAAGTACTCAAAATGCAACGGTCATGAAAACTCACCGCTTCCTAATTGTTTTACTATGTGTTACTGTCATCTCTGCATATATAAGGGCGTGCTCAGCCCTTCATTCAGTGACAGCATGTTGCTAGCTTGATATCAGCCATGGTGGGGATGTTTACACCAGGGCAATTGGCAAACTGTCCTATGCCTGGATTGCTGATTGTTAAACACTCACAGACCGAGCCCCACATTCTATTAGATACTTAACACTCATGACTTTGCTAAAAGCCCCGGCACCCCTCTGAGGTGGATTTTCAGCACACCCATCTTCCAGATAAGGATGCTGAGGCTCCGAGGGCTTAGGTGAGTGGCCCCAAATCACGTGGCTGGAGCATGGCAGGGGCAGAATGCTGAGCCGGGCCAATGGGACTTGACAGTGTGCATCTTCTGTCGTCAGCTTTGGAAACGGAAAGGCACATCAGAATCAAGAGAGACTGCTGCGGAGGATCGTTTTCTGACTTCCTCCCGTGACACAGAGCAGCCAGGACTACAGGTTCCTATCTGGGCTACATCATGAAGATAAAGACCTATCTCCCCTGATGGATATGAAAATGCTGACTAAATCAAACCAAATCAAACCAAACCAAACCAAACCAAACCACAGCACAGGGCCAGGCTGGCAGCCGGCACATGGGGTCTGGGAAGGCTGGCAGAGGAGGCCCTCTTCACCTCCTCCCCCTCCTTCTGCCCAATATAGAGCCAGAAATCCTACCCGCAAGGCAACATGACATGATGCCAGGTCTCCTGTTAAAACCAGACACTTTGCCATGGTAGCAATAGTGTGGATTGCAGTGTGTGATTAGGTGGTCTTGGGCCTATCTCCCCAGCACATTTTTTATTTTTATTTATTTATTTGAGAGAGAGAGAGAGAGAGAGAGAGAGAGAGGGAGAGAGAGAGAGAGAGAGAGAGAGAGAGAGAGAGATTGATTTATTTTTCCATTTACTCATGCATTCATTGGTTGATTTTTCTATGTGCCCTGACCCCCCAGCAGCCTTGGTGTATCTGGATGATGCTCCAACCAATTGAGCTCCTCAGCAGTATTTTACTCAAGAGTCATCAAAGTCTCACTGGAGTGAGAAGCAGGAGACTCCTTCAAAGCATAAATGCCGCTGAGGAGAACTGTTAGGACCAGGAGAATGGGGGTCAGAGGTCATGGCAGGCTCCTGTTTGTTCTGAGAGGGATGGTGCGGGAAGGGGGCAGGGCAGGCTGACCACTGGGCTCTGTCAGCTCCAACTGCTCTCCTCCCTGGCACCGCCTTCCCGGCCCCTCCCCGCGGAGGCTGCCTCCGCAGGCCTTGCACCACTGGTTCTCAAAGTGTGGTTCCCCGGATCAGCAGCAGAACCACCTCAACACTTGTCAGAAGTGCAATGTCTCAGACGCTAGCCCTCTGGAAGTGGGGCCCAACGACATGTTTTAACAAGGTTTCGAGGGGCTTACAAGGTGCACTAGATGCGGAGAACCCCTGCTTTGCACCGACCTGCCTCCAGGCCTGCTTCTGCTCCCTCCCAGGCTGCCCCGAGAAGTCCTCCAGGTCCTCACTGTGCGGCTGCCTGTACTTAGAACACCTGGTTTTACCACCTCATGCCTTTTGCCTTCCACCTGAGAAACTCACCCCATTCTAAAGCGCATCTCAAACATGGCTGCCTCTGGAAAGCTTTTATTTAAAAATATATTTTTATTGATGTCAGAGAGGAGTGGGTGGAGACCGGGAGATAGAAACATCAAGGATGAGAGAGAATCATCAATCAGCTGCCTCTTGCACACCCCACACTGAGGTCTGAGCCCACAACCTGGGCATATGCCCTGACTGGGAATCGAACTGTGACTTCCTGGTTCATGGGTCGATGCTCAACCACTGAGCCACACGGGCTGGCCTGGGGGAAGCTTTTTGATTCACCCGCTCACACACTCTCGCCTTCATTTCTTCAGTGTCTGTTTCCTGTGAGCCGGGCCCTGTACTGCTCGGAGGGGCATCAGCAGCTCATGAGAGAGGTGGTTGGAAAGGGAAAGGAAGGCCAGGCCACAGTGGGAAGGCCTTGGGAACCGTGGAAAGGAAGCAGGATTTACTCAGAAGCCACGAAAAGGCTCTGAGCAGGCAAGACCCCCGACTCCAGCGGGAAGGGGGACTGTGAGAGGCAGGAGGCCATGCTCAGGGCCCAGCTGGGGGCTGCCCGGGAGATGCTGGCGGCGTTGGCCAGGGTGCTCGCAGGGAGAGTGGAGAGGAGCCGACAAGTTTAAGACGCATGCTGGGCCTGGGACAGACAGTGTTTGGTGATGAAGCACCATCAAAGCATCATCAGATACTGCTGAGCAGTTCAACGGGTGGGAGCATCATCCAGACACACCCTGCACCATCCCTCTCAGAAGAGGTTTTGGGGAGAGTGAGCAAAGGAGCTGAGAACGGCCCTCGGTTTCTAGCCTGAACCGCGAGGTGCCTGGTGCTGATGCTTCCTCCCTCCTCGGGCCGTTCCTGCCTCTGAGCCCCAAGCCCACGGCACAGGCTGCATCACACACACACACACACACACACACACACACACACACACACGGCAGACAACGGCAGTCTTCTCTTCCTCCCAAGCCCCGCTCTTCCTCTCACCACTTGGCCAGTCTCTTGGGGAACTCTAAGACTTGCTTTCTTCGTCCGTAAAGATGAGGATGATGCTGCGTCCCACCTCCTGGCACTTGGGAGAATCAAATGAGCCACGGCCTGAATGGCACTTGGCTGCCCGCCTGGCGTGCAGTGAGCGGCCGGTGAACGGCAGCCGTTGTTGTTATTGTTATTTGTCTTCCTACAGAGCAGTTGTTCCAAGATTGCCCACCGGCTTGACGGGTGTGTGCAGCCTGGCATGCGGCAGCGGTGGCACCGGTGGCTGGATGAAGACTCCGATCTGGCGGCTTGATTTTGTTCGGCGTTCGGTTCTTCCTGTCCACAGTCTTTTTGAAAAGTCACCAGCACCAGGAGGGTGAGGATAGTAGCCCTTCGCACCGCTGTCCTCACCTGGATGCAGTTGCTGAAATAGAAGGAGCTGGAGGTGGCACGGCCTCTGGGGTACAAGGGACAGGAGATGACTTCTTGTTTAGTTATTGCTAGAAGCAACTCATGCTGAGCGTTGGTCCATCTCATGGTGAGAGATCTGACCATCGCGGTGTCGGAAGAGGGCAAGGACGAGCAGCATTTTAAAAAAGTGTCAGCCTCTGGGCCTCTGGGCACGAGAATGTGTTAGTTGGAGTTGAAGATATTGGCATGCCAGCAGTGAGAGCTGCGGGCGTGGGGAGGAGGCGGGCAGGATGGGGCTCCTGGGAAATCAGGCTGGGCTGGCGCGGGGCGTGATGCAGGAGTCCCTGGAAATCCTTCTCGCATCCAAGAGACTTTCACGTTAAGGACAAACGCTCAGCATGATTTGCTTCTAGCAATAACTAAACGAGAAGTCATCACCTGTCCCTTGTACCCCAGAGGCCCTGCGTCTCCATCCCGATGGTGAGGCCCACATGGGAGCCAGCTGAGTGGGGGCTTCTCTGAGCTCATGGACACCGCCCAGCGGCCTTTCTCATGGACATCACTTCCCCCCGGCTCTCATGACACCTTTCTCCTGCTCTTCCTCCCACCCAATTGGCCATTTTCATGGGCATTCTCCTTGGTTAAATCTTTTTTTTTTTAAAAATATGTTTTTATTGATTTTAGAAGGGAAGGAAGAGGGAGAGACAGAAACATCAATGATGAGAGAGAATCACTGATGGACTGCCTCCTGCACGCCCCCTATTGGGTATGGAGCCTGAAAGTCGGCATGTGCTCTTAACCAGGAATCGAACCCTGACCTCCTGGTTCATAGGTTAGTGCTCAACCACAGAGCCATGCTGGCCAGGCCATCTGGGCGACTTTCAATAGAAAGCTCTATTTCTCCCTGCATCAGTTATGGACAGTTTCTTTCTCACACTCTCTCTTTTAATCACAGATGTCTTATTTTCTAAGGTCAAAGGGAAGACAAAAACCCCAGTTTAATTACTAAATGACTCTTGTGATGCCTGTGTGAAAGACAGATTCTTCCTGCGAAGAATTACGACGG